GATGGTGCAGTGTAGGATCCCAGTGGTAGTGCCTTGAAGTGGGCTTTCTCCTGCAACGTCGATGGTCTTGGGCGTCGGGCGTTCTTCTTCGAGACGTCCATTCGGGATGAGGCGGTCGTCGAACATGGTTTCAGAAGCTCCAGAATNTGCCCTTGAACGTGATGGTGAGGGTGCACATGCCTTGGTCTTGAGTCTCTTGTTTCAGAGGAACGACGACTTCTCCGCCAATGGTGAGGTGTGGGGTCTTGTCTTCCAGGACACATCGGAGGCCCTTCTTGAGAAGGGCCGTTGGTGCGAAGATGTTCCGGCCTAGTCCTGGCACGATGAGACCTTGTAGTTTGACGGGTAGTTGCTGTTCTTTGTCGTCTTCGATGGTGCAGTGTAGGATCCCAGTGGTAGTGCCTCGTAGTTGGCTTTCTCCTGCAACGTCGATGATCTTGGGCGTCGGGCGTTCTTCTTCGAGACGTCCATTCGGGATGAGGCGGTCGTCGAACATGGTTTCAGAAGCTCCAGAATCCACCAGCGCGGAAGTCCCAGTTGCAGTTGTCGTGAAAGTGCGTCGGCTTCCCTTGCTGCATGTAGCATGGTACATGAATCCACCCTTGAATGCGTCTTCGTCGTAAGAGAAGTCGATCTCTGCCTTCTCGGTCGTTTCTGTTTCTTTGGGGGTTTCCGTTGTGGTAGGTTTGGCGTGTGTGTCTCCTGACTGGGTTGAGCAGTGCATGCAGTGTGTGCATGCGGAGAAGGCCTTGCCCGTGCGTTCTAGTCGCGTGGCTCCTTGGCTGTAGCACTCTTCGTCGGAGTGTGTAGTGGTGTTATGGACGGAGCACCACTTGGTTGCTCCCGCAGGCTTCGTCTTCTTTGCCCTATGGCCCTCCCGCTGGCGATTGGGACAGTTCCTCCTGACATGTCCCGGTTCGTTGCACTCGAAGCAGATGGGGCCAGATGTCTTGGTAGCCATGGCGAATCCGCGGCCAGCGATTTGGCCCTTGGTTCTCTTGCGCATTTGCTCGTCAAGGAAGATGTTGCGCATGGTGGCTTGCATCTGTTGTACGTCGAATGATGGGTCGCGGAAAACCATCATCTTGATGTCCTTNTTTTGCCATATGGCCCTTCCGCTGGCGATTGGGACAGTTCCTCCTGACATATCCCGGTTCCTTGCACTCGAAGCAGATGGGGCCAGATGTCTTGGTAGCCATGGCGAATCCGCGGCCAGCGATTTGGCCCTTGGTTCTCTTGCGCATTTGCTCGTCAAGGAAGATGTTGCGCATGGTGGCTTGCATCTGTTGTACGTCGAATGATGGGTCGCGGAAAACCATCATCTTGATGTCCTTGTAGTCCTCGGAGAAACCTTGCACACAGATGTCCTTGAAGCGGCGAT